ACTACGGGGCCACTAAGTAAGTTACCGCTCTCTTTTGTCTCGCCTTTTGTTCTGTACGAACGGTGTTTCAGTGGCTGGTACTCGTTATATGCAACCATTTATTCATCAGGATATGGGTTGGTACGCCTTAGTATGTTAACTGGCGTAACTTCTCAACTGTCAGATAACACCACATTTTGCTGAAGTCATAACCCACTTAAATGACCCCCACAATAGGTCTTTTAATTTAGTTTACAATACGAGTAACGCACCAAATAGCAGGCTCTGACGTATGAACCAATGTTGTTTATGCGGTAGGATATAACGAATACTAGTTTCTGAAAATTCGCCTGTATCCTGCTTCTGTTAGGTCACTGTTTTTTTACGGCATGGCGACAGTTGCTCGTAACGAAGGAGCAGTAACGATGAGTGAAACTGCATACAGCAGCATTGGTTTCGACTCACAGTAAGGGTTAAATGGCAAAACTATATAAGGAACGATTCCATTCTCTTCCAAGCACGGTTGACCTTAATAGACGGGAAGATTAAGAAAAGAGGTTACACTGTTAAACAGACTGGATAAGCATGAACCACTTCCTTCAGCACATGAGCTGCTCGTGTGGGAGCCAAAACGGCTGGCATAGTCAGGGAGACTAGCAAGCAGCCTGAAAAAAACAACAATTTAAAATTGATCTGCTTTCAGAGAGGATTATTTGCTTCTAAAATGCAGTAACTGGTGCCTTATTGTAAATATTGTAAAACTGCGAACACAACGGACATTACAAACCAGAGACGTTTTGCTCTTGCAAATAACACTCACACTAGTTCCTGAAACATTGTTTTTATAAACATCTAACAGGTGCTGAAATACCACGGAGCCGTCGCTTTCTTAAATTTCCTCGATCGTTCTGAGCAAGGGAGTGGTTAATTAGGTCGTGAAATATGGTCTTGAAGGAATTATGTTCCAGTTAACGCGCTGCAGCATAGTAACCCATATTCTGATCTTTGTGTAGGTTTTTAACTTCTATAAATCATAGCACCCCGTAAAACAAGTGCTCTTTACCGTGCTAACCCTTATATCGATGTTTAAAGTGTAATTTTTGTTCTCAAAAATTCTTTTTGTGAACATTTCTGTCGCATATCCCATGATCTTGTTAAAGCTAGGCTAAAACCTGTCGACTTACATGTCATAGCAATAGTTATTCGTCTTCTTATTCTTATGAATGGCTAATAAACGCTTCCAAAAAAAATTATATAGCTATCGTGACAGTGAGGCATCGCTTTCATGAACTGAAGCTCCTTGTGTTCTTTATAGGCCACTTTCGATCCGGAAATATTTTTCAATATCCTTCTGCCGCCTATCATTTTCAACGCTGGTTACAGCCTGAAACGAGGCAACTTCTTTCGTAATATCGGATCGATACTTACATATGCTGTAGTCGGTACAACGGTGTCCTGCTTCCTGACGGGGTAAGTATCGCGAAACGTGTGTCTTACCTTTTGGCTTTAAGCGGCAGCGTGAAAATGCTTAGTTTTGTTTTTTCGTGGCTATTTTATATATCGTTAGCGGCTTTTCTCCTAAGTTTGATAATTTGAACTGTGCTTATGCCGCTGGTCTTTATTTACCTATTGGGATAGCCTCCGTATTTTCTTTAACTGTTATTTCTGGGCAGTGGTCCTGAGCTGGCTGGCAGACTCTGTCCGGTACGTCAAAGATGCTAACGTTGGCAGCGAGCCAAGTTGGTTAGTTGTAATGTTAGTTGCTCTAAAGTAAACGATGACGTACTCTTGTCACACTATGCTTTCTCCGAACACTACACCGGAATGCAATGGCTCGAAAGCAGGATTATGGCTTGTTGCTCTGTTCGGACTATTTTTATATGTCATCCCCACTGTTAGAAGTATTTACGATCTTTCCAACTTCGGTAAATCAGAAATCATGCCGTTGAAGCGATGGCGAGCTTTCGTATTTTGCTAAAACGGGGCGGGGATGGCCTGTATCTGACTCTTGTCAAGGATATGTCTGGCAGT